ACTGCCACTGCTACTGCTACTGCTACTGCTACTGCTACTGCTACTGCTACTGCTACTGCTACTGCTACTGCAACTGCAACTGCAACTGCAACTACTACTACTACTACTACTACTACAACAACAACAAACACTACAACAAACACTACTAACTACTACTACTAGCCATCATACAAACACTACTAGCCATCATACAAACACTACTACTACTACTAGCCATCATACAAACACTACTACTACTACTAGCCATCATACAAACACTACTAGCCATCATACAAAGACTACTACTAGCCATCATACAAAGACTACTACTACTACTAGCCATCATACAAACACAGACATAGAAGGAAACTGAACTACCAATGCTTTGTCACACTAGGTAACTTAAAAGACTAGTAAATTGCATGTAGCTCATCAACAAAAACAAATGATGGTAGCATAGGTGGAAAATATGTCATCACTACAAGTCCAAGGCTTTTTTTAAAACTGTCTTTCAAAAGCAGAATACTTATTCCTGTGCCATTGTTACTTGCAGGAAATGGTTACGTTTTCTCGGTACATTGTTTCCAAGTTTTTTGACTTGTTACCCAAGAATCCAGTGCTACTAGCTGAGCTTGTGTTGTGGAAGAGTTCTGGAGACTGTTATGAGGTAGTGGAAGGCTATGGAAGTTTAGCTCTGAGGTAAAATGATTCATAGAAATATGTTTACAATATTGGTACTTTAAATCATGTTTTAAGTATTGTAGGTATGGTCAAAATAGAATAATGCAGTTACTTTCCCTTGGAATATTTAAACACTCCCCCTATTTGCATCACATTGATATAATACTCAAATGAGACAGAATCCTTTTTTCAGTTTTATTTTGTTTTTCTTTTTTACAATATGCTCACAATTTTAAACTGAAATGTATACTCATTGTAAAGGCTTTTTCATGGTCATGTGAGAGCAAAATGATTATCTTTTTGGTAAGGTATATTCCATACCTATCTGTGTAGAGACATTCAAACTAAGAAATTTAGTCATTTGCTAGAAATGCCAGTCAAAGTTCCTCAGTGTGGACATTTGAGGAGGAAGAAGAGCTACGTGAACTGTATGAGGAACACAAAGCCTCAGATGGTATGTAATATTCTTTATTATTAAAAACTAGATCATTGGATAATGCAATTCAAGACTTTTTATTGGCTTAGCCATTATGGTATATCAGCCAGTATACCATAATCTACAAATATGGCAAGCGTACGTGTCAGCTTAAAATTAAAAGGGAGCTAAAAATTTAATAAAATTTAATAATTTCATTTAACGTTTTTAATAAAACAATTATTCCACTCGCGCTTGTTGGATATGAGATGATTATAGCCAACTCGGCGCTA